GACAACAACTAACTGTACAAATGTTTAGGTTCGTGTGCCGTACAGGTCACTTTGGCTTTCGCGCATGCGCAATGTGCATGGTAAACAAAACAAATGTATTTCAGTACAGCAAGAATGGAAATAAATTGCACAATAGAATCTGTTTTACGAGTTGTGTTTTGTTGTGATTTAAAATACCCCAGTTGCTACAGTCGTATTTGTTTGTATATGACATATAAATGTAACATTTGATCCATCTAACAGAGGAGTTTACACATTTTTTACCAGGAAAATCATTGTAAATAACTTGAGGATTTTAGTAAAGTTCGTTCAATTTTCGGCTGCTCCAGATATTGAATTCATTGGTTGATCGGAACTGTCTGTCCTTTAGTAATTATTACAATAGTTTGTAGCTATATCGAAGATTGTTTACTACCGAGAAAACACAATGTACAAATAATAGTCACCTATTGGGTCATCACCCAGTCCCTAGAATCTCGATGGCCGTATCAGTGGTGCACCACGAGATGTCCCTGGCGTAGGTCTGATAGCTCCTCCACGTCCGCCTCTGTTTCCCCATACATTCGCCCTTCCTCCTCTGAGTGGTCCGGCGGGTGCAGAAGATGAATCTAAATATGAAAGCTATCTTAATTACAAAGGTTACTTTAAATCACGAAATAGTAAAGGAGGTGGTGTTTGTTTATATATTCACAAATCTATGAATATTAAACCAAGAATGGACTTAAAATTTAACAATCCTAACTGTGATGTTCTCACTGTTGAAGTGGTGATGCAGAATCAAAGAAATGTTTTATTTACTGTAATTTATAAACCACCTAATGTAAATATTGATGACTTTAATCATGATCTGGAGGTCTATATGTCTATCATATCTCGAGAAAATAAGGTTTCATATGTTGCTGGTGATTTTAATGTCGACCTTTTTAAAACAAAAGAACATCTACCCACTGAAAATTTTTACAATATTTTTAAATCATACAATCATAGCCCTGTTATTTATAGAGCCACTCGGGTGACAAGCACATCCGCAACCCTTATAGATAATATTTTTACAAATGATAATACGGTTGATTTGTGTGGTGTTCTTGTATATGACATTTCAGATCATTTCCCAATATATGTAACAAATAAAAGAGCATTCTCAAGCATAAAACGAATTCAAATAACATACAGAAGGGTAAATAGAGAAACTATAGCATCTTTTAAATCATCTTTACAGCAGGAAAATTGGGAATCGGTTACTTCAATGGATGATCCAAATGAAGCTTATAATACATTTGATGATAAAATCCAATCATTATATAACAAGTCCTTTCCAATACAAACTCGAACAATTAAACTATTTAATAATATTTCTAAACCATGGATAACGGCAGGAATAGTGACATCTGTTAAAACAAAATCTAAACTATATAAAAAATATATCAGAAACCCTTCCAATAAAAACAAAGATGCATATAAAATATATGATAGAATTTTAAAAAGAGTAGTTAAATATGCGGAAAAAACAATTTTACAGGAAGAAATTTGAGGCTGCAGCGGGAAATATTAAAAGCAATTGGGAAATAATAAATGAGCTACTTCATCGATCTAAGAATAAATCAAACAATGCAACATCTTTTTTGTTAAATGACAGAGAAATCACAGATAATCAGGAGATTGCTAACCAGTTCAATCTATTTTTCTCTAACATTGGATTAAAACTAGCCTCAAAAATACCTAAAACAGATAGAACTCCTTTTGACTTCATGAAAAAACTTAATTCTCAACCTTCAAGCATATTTTTAATCCCTATAGTAAGTGAAGAACTTAAAAGAGAACTGACAAAGCTTAAAGATTCAGCAGCAGGAATAAATGATCTTAAACCTGATGTAATGAAACAATGTAACAATGAGCTTGTTAAACCACTTCTGCATGTCTTTAATAAATCTTTTCAAAAGGGAATTTTTCCAGATAAATTAAAAATAGCAAAAGTAACTCCGATTTATAAAAAAGAACAGATTAATCTCTTTACCAATTATAGACCAATTTCAGTTCTTCCAGTTTTCTCAAAAGTTTTGGAAAAATTAATGTTTAATCGAATGAGCAGTTTTATCACTAAATTTGAAATTTTGTATATAAACCAATTTGGTTTCAGAGAGAAAAGGTCAACATATATGGCTGTTTTACAGTTTGTGGAGAGAATTAAGAAGTCGATTGATAAGGGTGAATTTAGTATAGGTCTTTTCTTAGATTTTTCCAAGGCCTTTGATACGATTGATCATAATATACTATTACAAAAGCTTGAATTTTACGGTATTAGAGGGCCAGCTTTAGGTTGGGTCTCTAGTTACTTCACAAATCGAAAACAAAGTACAAAGTTTAACGAATCTACTTCAAAAGCTGAAACTATTCATTGTGGTGTCCCTCAAGGTTCGGTTTTGGGACCTTTGTTTTTCATCTTGTATATTAATGATATTTATTTGACCTCACAAGATCTTCTATTTGTCCTATTCGCAGATGACACAAATATCTTAATCAATGGAAAAACATTAGTGGACCTACAAACTACTCTGAATCAAGAACTTAAAACAATACAAGCATGGCTTGAAACAAATAAACTTTCACTTAATGTTGAAAAGACGAAATACATAATATTTTCTTCAAAAAAGAAAATATACAATGGTAATGACATACAAATTCTTATTAATGATCAAAAAATAGAAAGAGTCCCTGTGACAAATTTTTTAGGCTTGATCATTGATCAACATTTAATGTTTAAAGATCACATAAGTATGATTAGAGTTAAACTCTCCAGGACACTGGGGATTCTTTTTAAGATCAAGCACATCTTAGACAGAAAAACTTTTATCACTATCTACAACTCCCTGTTTCATTCATACCTTACATATGGTAACATAATATGGGGTAATACAAATCCCACAACTCTTAATCCATTACACTTGATACAAAAGAGATTTGTTAGGTTGGCAACTCAAAGTGGCTATAGAGACCACAGTCAACCACTTTTTAAAGAGCTTAGAATCATACAAATACATGATATATATAAAATCAATATTGCTGAATTTGTCTTTAAATGGAAAAATGATATAAACAATTATAAAACTATTTTTCCAGATTATTTCAAAACCCATGGAGATTTTCATAGATATAACACTAGAGGCAAATCAAACTTTACCCTTCCTAAAACAAAAACTGAAAACTATGGCAAAAAAACAATAGCCTTTAGTGGTTCATCCATATGGAACAGTCTCCCAGAAGAAATAAAAAAGTCAAATTCAAGTTCTTTTCTTAAATCAAAACTTAAGAAACATATTCTCTCAGCTTATTAATCATTGGTTGACTGTGTCACTTCTTGTTTCTTCGCTAAGAAGTTAGGGTAGGCTCTCAAGGGAGGTACATGGGCCGACCTGGGGGCTGCCCCGAACTACTGACGATTTAACACAATGATTCTGATCGTACCAACCTTGGGGAAGGTACAATAATAACTAATATTTTATAAGAATCACACTTTTAGAAAATTATTGGCGTCAACGCGGTAGCCTGGCGTCTTTAAATAATAATTATTGAAACTACACATTCATAATTTTTTTCCCATGGCATATGGCACCTTCTTGGCTTCAAAAGAAATGAGCATCATGGATCCCCCCACAACCTTTATTTATTTACCTAACTTTTGTGATTACATTCTGGTTTGATTCCTTGACAACATAATGATATGCTATATGATTTAACTACTATATGTACGGGTATAAGCATCACCTGTGGTGCCACCTGTTATTTATAATATAGGTACACATAATGATTAAATGTATGAATAAATTGAAATTGAAATTGAATAGTAATAATATAATAAAAAAAAAAAAAAAAAAAAAAAAAAAAAAAAAAAAAAATTCTCATGCTTGCTTTAAGTGACATCTTTTCTTCTTAAAAGTAACAAAAACAGATGTATATCTGAGCAACACCTTTTTACACAGGAGTATCTCCTTAATAACATCTGACTAACACTTTAATAGCACCTGAGTAACACTTTAATAGCACCTGAGTAACACCTTGATAGCACCTGAGTAACACCTTAAAATCACCTTAGTAACACCCTGATAACATAGCACCTGACCAACACATATATTACACCTAGGTATCACTTTGATTCACTTTAATAACACATTATTAACGCCTGAGAAGCACCTTAATAGCACATGATAAACAACTAAGTATCACCTTGATAATGCCTGATTATCACCTAAAGTATCACCATATTAACACCTTGATAATGCCCGAGTATCACCTTAATAACTCGTGTGCAACACCTTAATTACACCTGAAAAGCACCTTAATAGCACATGAGTAACACCTAAGTATCACCTTGATAACACATAAGTAACACCTAAGTATCACCTTGATAACACCTGAGTATCACCTTAATAATTCATGTGCAACAGCTCAATTACACCTGAATGGCACCTTGATAACACCTGAATAATACCTTAATATCACCTTGATAGCACCTGAGTATAACCTTAAATATCACCTTGATAACGACTGAGTATCACCATATTAACACCTCGATAATGCCCGAGTATCACCTTAATAATTCATGTGCAACACCTTAATTACACCTGAATGTCACCTTGATAACACCTGAATAATACCTTAATATCACCTTGATAACACCGGAGCAACACCTTAATTATACCTAACACTTGAGCAACACCTTAATAACCCCTGAGCAATAGACTAATAACACCCAAGTATCACATTATAACATTTGAACATCTAATAAAACACCTGATTATCACCTCGATACAACCTTTGTTTTACCTTAGTAACAACAACTAGCAACACCTTAACACCTATCCAACACATTTATAACACCTGCCTATCACCTCAATAACACAAAAGTATCACTTTCAAAACACCTGCCAAAAACACCTTCACATGCCATCCTAACACATGAGTATCACCTTATTAAAATAATAACAAATATTTGTTCAATTTTGGTTTTATATAAATATTGTTATTATAAATATCATAGTTTAACAAAGTTTTGTGTATAAAATGGAATGCTGTTAGTCACGCCATCTTTTGATTATAAGTCAAACTAATATTACATTTAACATGAGATTCTTAACCCTTTTATGTCCTTGGAGCATATGGGTAAACATATCAAACATGTAGTTATTCATTGTAATAAATAAATTAATAATTATTTTGTGGTATGAATTAAATGCAGTTACATAGTTGATAGCAACAGAACAATGACGACCATCTAATATTGGTCCGTATTAGTTGCGATGATTATAATTATTTAAATGCATAATTATTAGATATTTTTAATAAATACAGTGTTTATCTTTGTAAAATTATTGAAGTTCTTTAGTTTGTACTTTCTTAATTCATCTTCTCTTAATGTTGTAGAAGAAGAGTAATATTTGGTGACCCAGATTTGAAGCAATTTTTAAAGTAGCCCAACCTTTTTTTGCCTCACGAAAAAAGAAATATCAATAAAACCATAGCAACATGTGATTAACACTATAATAGACTATGAGTATAATTGCAATTTTTTTTTCAAATATGAATATCGTTGAACTTCCCAAGCTGCTTACAATGCAGTTGAGTTTTTTTAAAGATTTGATATGAAAAAATGCTGTAGATTTGTACCTTAGTCCATCTTTAGTGTTACACACAGGTTGCTACATTTTATCTTTTTGGGAAGTTTTAGTGAGGCAGTACGATAATCCGAAATTGTATTTTTTACTTGGCGGCTGAAATGGCCATGTAAAGTATCATATTGACCAGTGAGTCACTTATCATCTTAAGTGATAGTAAGAAAGATACAATACAATACAATAATAAAGGTTGAGCCACTTTAATTAATTAGCGATTCAATGTCTTTTTTGATTTTCAAAACACAAATCTGGATTTCATTTTTCAGGTATCCATTTCGATATCAAGAGCTATATAATGTTCACAAGTTTTATAGATTCACTGCTGTATGTCATCACACAATATAAATATTGAAATTCTCTTGGCGGAAGCACATTTGAGCTTCCTGTAATATGCGCAATCTTGGGCCCATTGGGATGCCAATTTTTTGTAATCGTTCCTCAGTCATATATGGCAGCTCCACCATTCCAATGTGTTCATTCTCAAAATTTGGGATCCATTTGTTATAGCCCAGCTTTTCAAGGAAGATATTCAGCAAGGGTGGTTCTTTACCGAAAAATCTGAAAGATAAATTGTATTGTTAAGGTTCTTGTTTACTCAGAATGCATTACAAAGATTTGTCTTGTGTTGTTTTGGATGTGGCCTTGTATTTAATGGATGCCTTACAGCTGCGTCCATATAAAGCTTTGAATTTCCCAAACATCTAAGTATGCTTCATATGATACATGTACCCTCAAACCCAGTAATTTCTACATTTAGATCAAAATATTTTGTGATTCAAATGAACCAGTTCTTACTTTGTTAATTTTGAAATTCTTTTGGGGTTTGTCATGGCAGGAACCCAACCACGGAATCTATCCCAGTCATCGAGGGCACCATTACCACCTGTGCCCACCATTGAATGTTGACGTTCTTTCATTGTCAACAGCTCGGTCTTCAGAAGATCTATGTCCTGGTATACTGTGTTTTGTGAGCGCATTTCAGATGACAGATGAGCAACACTCCTGGCCAAAGTGACGACGTGTGATTCAAGACGGGCAAATCTTTTGTTTATGTTTCTGCAAATGTAACATGAAATCTATTTATTTGATTTGTCTTCATCATAAATATCTGGCATAATCAATCCAAACAATAACAATAACAATTCAGGTCACAAACAATGAACACACCAAACTAGGCGTTGTTGTAGTAACCATGAGGATGTGAGTTTGAGTCACATAGCTCCTCGCGTTAACTAGTTTCACAATTATAATCATTACTTTATTTTTTGACATCTTGATATCCCTGTCAGGCCCGTAGCGAGGCCAAAAAATCTTTCAAAATCATTCTGAACACTATTTTAAGTGATTTTGGCCATTTTTGGACCAAAATTGTCACAAGTGCTAGTGAACCCCCCTGGAATTTTTCAAAAAGTGAACCCCCCTTGCCAAATCCTGGCTACGGGCCTGCCTGTAGTTCAAATAAAGTTTCTATTCATTATTCAAAATAAGCTCTCCACTTACTTGAGTTCTTTGGCTTGACGTCTTGCGGAATGAGATCTCCTTGATTTATGCAATCTTTTTCCATATAATTTTTTCAAATGCTCAGGCATAGAATCCTTATTAACACCAAGCATCTTTAAAATTTCATGGTACATCAATTCAAGTCCATCAAGCTGTTGTCGTATGATGTCAGCCTCTTCACCCCCTAATGTGCTCTCTAGGTCAGTATTTGTGCCAGGGAAGTCAGAGACGGTGTCATTGTCAAAATCTGTAGTTTCATCTTCGGTTCTTTCCAACAGCTCACTCATGGATACTAGAAAGAGAATATTTCATTTTTCATATTTATTCCATTTCAAGAGAAATGAAGGAACATGCTTGTTGATCATGTTATTTATTGTTTTGCAATTTGCATTTGTAATTAACATTTGTGATCATTTCAAAAGAAGTCAAATGTGAAATATCAAATATTTTTTCATCTTATTTTATTTTGACAGTGGAGATCACCTAAATGCCAAAAAGTATATAATTCAGAAGTCAGATGGTTAAAATATTATTTTAATGAATATAATGAAAAGAACAGGCACTTCATTTACTATGATATTGTTTTATCTTATAACTTACATTGTTGTAGCCTAGATGAAGAAACTCTGAGATTGGGAGTCTTCGAACGTGACTTAGATTTGCGATACTTCCGATCTTCATACTTCATATTTGGGTGCCCACTTAGTGATCTTCTCATACCAGTTTGTGTTGGTTTCTTCTTCTTTAGCTTTGATGCTGATGTCACAACATCGGGTGCAGCCGTCGAGAGGGCATTATTTGAGAGAGCATTTTTTAAGTTGATTGCACTTACAGATCTGTTATGGAACTTTGGAAGACCCCTGGGGGAATCCTCAGGGGTGAGAGGGGGTGTCATGTTTGGGGAGAGAGGAGGTAAAGGTGGCGTCACTGATCTTAGAGATGATACGTCAGCTGTGACATCATTAATATCCACAATATCTCCATGGTGAATGCCATAATCTGGGTACACATCTTGGGATTTCCCTGTCATATTAAAAATGTTCAATGAACTGGAACTAAAGTCCTGAGAGTATAATTGGTCATTGCCTAGCAACTGATTATGGTCCTGAGGGGTTGATTGTTTGACATAAGGCATCATTCTCGATGCTACAGGTGTCCTGTTTGGTGCGTTATTGTCTGTTTTGAACTGTACATGTGGCTTATTTTGGTTTCCTGGCATATTGTGTATTTTTGTAAATCCATTTTCAGTGTTCTGATTTGAGAGATTTTGATTCCATTGCTGGTTTCCCATTGGTCGATGGGTTCTCACAGGGGACGCTGGGGCAGTAGTTTTATTCCTCGGGGGTAGTTTTGGCTTAGGCTCCTCTAAGGGGTGATCCCTAGGTGAAGGGTATGGTGGAGGCTTCAAGTAAGGTGGATTCCCCTTGGGAGTCTCCGGTGATGTCACATAATGGGGTTTTGGAGGGGGTGGGGGAGGTTGATAGGAGGGTGGCCTCTCCATTGATGTGTGCCCCTGAGTGGAGGAGTTGTTACTGAGGGGGCTTGAACTTTGACCCTGGGGACTTGATCTTTGAGTGGAGTCCTGGTAGGGTGAGTTCAACTTTGAAGCACTCTGGAAATATTGAATTATTTCACTTATAAAACATCAAATAAAAATAAGCTACCCAATTTTAATATTGGATTTTCCGAAATTATTGAAGAGTTAAATAATCAACTATGCATTCATACATGTAACATGTGAAAGTGATTATCAAGAAGTTCTGTGATTTAGTTGAACCAGATGATTTGAAAAAAACATAACTGAAAGAATATTTCTCAATATAGCCATTCAAAAAAAATTTAAAAATAAAAATCACATCTTTTATTTCTTTTATACTTACAGTAGTAAATCCAGGTTTCCTAACAGAGGAGACATTGGTCCCGTAGAGCCGACTGCACAAGTCACGAATATTACTCGCCGTCTTCTCAGTATCGCTGCAAAGCACAATAAAGTAAGAATTATAATTATCCTCATACAAGTTCGTGAGCAATTCTCTCAAATGCTTCTCAGAAATCGTAACCTTATTAGTTTAGTCCTGCTATGTTTGTGTTGCAATAAGCCTGTAGTTATGAAAATTTGTATGACAAAAATAACGGAACATGGTATGTTGTTTTAAGTTCTTAAGGTATTTAAGGTCTTAGAATGTATTAGCGCTTATTAGTAATACAATGTAGAATTCCCTGATTGTTGAGTATTAACAGTTTTTGTTGGTCATTTGTAAAATTTTTCATATAACTGTTTGGTTTAAACCTGATGTATTACAAGGGTTTCCAATTTAACACCAAATACCATGTTAATGAAACAAAAATGATTAGACATACATTGAATAATTTACCAGTTTACAACATACATACATTAATTATCAAATTCAAATATTATTACTGTACCTCCGGTTAAGGTTTGTTCCTTTAACCATTTCTCCATTTCCATTCATCATTTTGAATTTTTAACAATCTCTTTAATCTATTCAGTTGATGAACAGTTGGATTTGAAACTGAATCGGATAAAACTTTAAGTGAATGATTAAAACCATCCCAGATTATACCCTGGTTAAGTTGTAGTGTCATTTAAGAATTCACTTTTGGCAACAACATTAAAACTGTAAAACACTGATGCCTGCCCCTTTTTTCCAGCCCTTTTTCAATCAAGATTCAATGTTCAAACTTGATTTAAAAACCTCTGGATATGATTTTGACAGTTAAATAGACAAATATTGAAAGTGATTACTGTTAAGTCCCTACATGGTCAAAGTATGTAAATTATACATCAATATACAGGTAACACAGGTATATAATCATTTCCTTGCCAGAAAAATGAAAAGATATGTTTATTTTAAATCAAAACTGAAGTGTATGAGATTTAAAAAATAATTTATTTAATGACACTTCAAATATGATATTATAATATCTCGGGATGATTCGATTAAATATCTCGTTGAGATGAAAGTTATTAAACACAGTTGTAAAAATGGGATTAGGGGCTACAAAGTAGGATTAGGATTAAAGTAGAGATTAAAGGCCATTGATATGTCAATAGTGGACCACCCTCAGATATCATGTTGTTTCAATTAAGTTGATAAAATACATGTTACATAATGTTTGCATTGATAATTCATCACAGTTCATACAGTTACATAAATAGAGGACTTAGTCAATTAATACCTATCAAAAAACACTACTGTTGTTGATCAAAACGAGTTCATAATCATTGATGGGTATGAGAGTCAGTCCAACAACAATAATATCAAACCCCAAAAAATGATTCAAACAGTTATAAATCAATATATGGTTTAATTTGCCTGGTCTGATTTCCATAAGCCCTAAATAATGAAATAACCCATCATTCTGTTTCTATATAACATGTTTACATATAGTATATCAAGTATACATGTATAACGCCTATTCAGCAAAATGAAATTCAAGAATATCTATTTTGATAGATTGATCTTGTTGCCTATTTTGATTTGAATAATAAAGATTCAGTGCCACCACTTTTGCTGTATTCATATTTCAAATACAGAAAAAGAATCTTGCTTCAACAGTTGTTGAAGTAGATATGGGGGGGGGTCTCCATGGTCTAGTACCAAGTCTAGAGTCTTGCAGGATTATCATAATAATGGCACATTAAACATGAAACTTACTTTTTCTGGGGACTAGATATATCCTCTGGTAGTGGATCATTTCCAGAATATTTACGCTGCAGCATCACTTCTCCCCTGGCGCCCTCTATACGCTCATCAGGGTGGGAGGGCTACAAATAAAATTAACATTTCACCAAGGTCAAGGCAAGTGGCAAATCATCATTTAAATCATTAATGGCAGGTTTTATTTGTATGTGTGTTAATGATCAGACATTGAATTTGGCACTAATTTGTAAAGCACTACATTTGGCACTCATTTGTAAGGCAATGGATTTGGCACTAATTTGTATCTTATAACCCTGAACCCAGCTAAAAGCTGCAACTGAAGTAAAGTTCAAGTTATTCATTATACGTGACCCACCTTAAATACCAAGACAATCAATAATAATGAATTCCATTCATGACTTACCACATATGAGATTTCCACACTCTCATTGAGTGTTACATTTTGTGGCGAAGTAAACCCGAGATCATCAAAGAAAACATTATCATTGTTGTCTACATCGTCATGGTGATAGCCATTGTTTACAACACCACTGTCATGATTATGGGTGGGGCTCTCTATAGGGCGGGCCACATGGTGTGTGGGACTTTCTAACTGCCGTGATCTAGGGGGAGGAGCTATGAGGAGTTCACCATCTTGCTTTTGCTATAAATATAAAAAATATCAATTATGGGTATGTATTATACAAAGGTTAGTCAAGTTTGCTTGTTATTTTATTCAAAATTAACTTTGAGAGTTTCGAAGGATTTCATGATCAGTACATTGTTTGAAAAATAGATGTCACTACGTGACTAAAGATCAGCTAAAGATTTGAGGAGATCTTAATAAGAAATATACACAGAAAACAGGCTAAAATGTTTGTTTTGGCTAACAGAAAAAATGGAGAAAATTGGCATTATTGAATTGACATTTTCTCTCATACTTACTTGATTAGCAGGTGGTGTTTCAGCGTCACTCTCCAGTCCAGAGCTGGTCAGTAATGTCTTCAGTCTTTCTTCAACTGTCTTGTTCTAAAGATAAAATACAAAGAAATGAATATTTTGTGGTAAAGAAATGTATTGTGTGCTGATTAAAGATATTATGTGCTAAAGAAATATATTTTTAAGGAAAGTATGATGTGCTAAAGAAAACATTTATGTGCTTAAGAAATATTCTGTGCGTTAAAAAAAGATATTGAGTGCTAAAAATATATTGTCTACTATAGAAACATATCGTATGCTATAGAAAAACATTGTATGTTGTAGAAATATATTGAGTATTGTTACAAAACTATTAATTAGTGAAAATCAAGTGGGGAATAAGCTTTAATTATTTTTCAGAAAAAGCACATTAATAAAACACATAAATAAATGTCAATTAATAACTTTTTATGATCATCTTATAAGCAATTAACAGTTTAATGATGAATTTCAAAGAGAGGCCCTTTTAAGGCAGTCTGATAATGACAACTCATTAACACCAACATTTAATTAACAGTTTTTTTACCATTGAAACTTAGATAACTCACACTACCATGAAGGTTATTATAAATATTTTAAGATACTTGGTTGACTAATAAGACATTTTCGATACCTGATTTCTGCTTTTTATTATTGATTTGAGTGACGTTGTATTTGGCATATGGTTATAACTGAGATTAACCAAATGGTGCTTAAAATGTAATGACTAATTGGGATTTGAGAAAAAGGAACTTAACACAAATAGGACTTTCTACAAAAGGGACTTGGGACAAATGGCACTCTAACATGGCATTTATATGACAAAAAATAACCATGTTCCAAATTAACTTATTTCCCTAGTATTGTACATAATACTATTATATTATACTTTTTATATGAACTGACAAGCCCCTCCCCCAACTGTACCTTCTGTGCTGTTTGGTTACTCCAGGCTTGCGTGGTTGCCACTGGTTTCTCAGGAAAGTTCATAGACTTGAAGGCTTTTCCTCGTATTCTGTCAAAAACTGACCCAGATGGAAGACTAGTGATTTGTTGACGTCTTTCTCCACCATGTTGAGCTGTTCCTTGCATATCAAGCTCAGTCCGTGACTGTAACACAGCGAAATACATGCTATTGTCAGTTATGGTATATCTCATGCAATTGCATATGGTTTTATGTTCCAGACAGATTTGAAAAATGAATTCCAATTTTTCTAATGTTAATTTTCCACCAACAGCTTTACGAATTTATAATGTTTTTAACATACTGGAATTAATCCTTGTAAAACTGTAACACTGTTTTAAAATATCCGAATGATTAATTCATTGATTGCAGTAATCATAAAGCCAGATGTGAGTGACGTAGTAACTGATCCCATGGATTCTAAAAATATTGTTTTAGGCAACCTAGGTATTCATTCACTGGTTGAGCGCAATGTGTCACACAGGTTATGCAAGGTAAATTCTCTGTGAAATATATCCGACAAATGTTATTCTAATTTTCGCTTTTTCTCACATCCTAAAAACAGCGCAGCATCTGTGTTACAGCTTTACACACTGACTGTTTCTAACATCAAACTAGTCCAGAATAACTTCATTCACAAATACGGAATCAGAAAAATAATATTCAATTCTCCAAGAGCTGATTACAGGAACACTTAATGGCTAATAAACACAATCAACTGATGTCATAAATTGTAATAAAAAAGCTCACAAAACTATAGATTGCCTTGGAGGTATACTAGAAATTGCCTTGTGCAGAAATGATCATTTATAATAAATAATATTTCCAAGAGTGGGATTTCTTTGATGTACTGTCCATGTGCTCAGTCAATCATAACACACATGTACATAACCATGGTAACAGTTCACTGTTGTCATGTTTCAAAATAAAAGTAAAAGTGAAAGAGAAATGCAATGGGAAAAAAAATAAACCAGCATTTGGGTTATTCTCTTAATTGTATAGAAACACAGAACAATAAAACAGTTCATTCAATAATTAAAGAGTAATTGAGAATAAAAACCAGATGACAAAACAGACATTTCAGTAAAGGTCACAACAATCTTCTGATCCTTTAATAGATACAAGATCCTACTGCAAGACAAGATAGTGATAAATAATTACAACAAATAGCAAAACTCCTTTGAAGAATTGTCTAAATGTCACGCTGATCTTTGAACTGAAAGGTGAATGATTTACGGACTTAAACAGAAACACTCAAACCTTCAAATCTGATCAACGGCCAAGAGGCGATTCTTAAAAGTACTCTGAATTTTGATTTGCTTAATTCATGTATTACGGTGATGCAATAATGACATTTTGAAAGATAATTGATTGTTAAGCATGATATTTTTAGATATGGTCTTCATGGCAACTAGGATCCAGGATGTTTTTGAAAACTGAGATTCATAAATGCTGTGCACCAGGAATGGTTAGCCAATGCATTTTCTCATCAAATCATGCTTGAAATGTTAATTGAAATGAGAAAAAATCTACTTGAATTATCATGGTCAGGGCCGTCAGATGGGGGGGTGCGATGGGTGCGACCGCACCCCCCTTTGTCAACCCCCAAAATAAATTTGAAAAAAATTTTTTTTTTGAAAAATATTTTTTTTGTAATTTTTTTTTCATTGACTCATACACTTTGAAAGTACCCAGAAAGCACCAAATAGCATCTTAAAATTGTAAATTTTTTCTAGGGGTATTGGCCACCCCTCACACCCCCCACAAAACAATGGAAAAGTTCTAAATTTATTTTAGAGTTTTGTCTCAGACACTTTTAAAGTGCCCAGATATCATCAAATAGCTCCTTGATATAGTTATTGTTTCTGGGGGATTTACTCCCCCTCTTGCATCTTGCACTTGCATAACCTCCCCCCCTCTGGCGCCCCCCCCGCCCTGCTTGACCCCCCCCCCCCAAAAAAAAAAAGAAATTGTGATTTTCTCAAATTCTTTAATTGACTCATACACTTTGAAAGTGCCCAGAAAGCACCAAATAGCGTCATAAAATTGTAAAATTTTCTAGGGGGAGTGGGCCACCCTTCACACCCCAAACAATGGAAAAGTTCTGATTTTTTTATGTATTGTCTCAGACACTTTTAAATTGCCCAGACATCATCAAATAGCTCCTTGATAAAGTTAATGATTCTGGAAGACTAACACTTACTGGCCCTCTGGCATCCCCACTCAACCTCCCCCTCTGGCAGCCCCCCTTCCTTAACATCCCCCCCCAAAATGGAGATTTTCAAATTTTTTTTTATTGATTCATACCCTTTGAAAGTGCCCAGAAAGCACCAAATAGCATCTTAAAATTGTAAAATTTTCTTGGGAAATAGGCACTTTTAGGCACAGACACTTTTAAAGTGCCCAAACTTCATCGAATAGCACCTTGATATTGTAAATTTTGATATTGGGGACAAACACTTGCTCCCCCTCTGGCACCCCAGCCCCACCTCCCCCTCTGGCACCCCCCCCCTTTGACACTCTCAAAATTTGAAAAAATTGTGATTGTTTTTCAATGTTTTTATTGACTAATACACTTTAAAAGTGCCCAGAAGCACCAAATATCATCTTTAAATTGTAAAATTTTCTAGGAGAGTTAGCCATCCCTCACATCCCCCACAAAACAAAAGAAAATATTCGGAATTTCATGTATTGTCTCAGACATTTTTTAAGTGCCCAGACATCATCAAATAGCACCTTGATATTATGGTCAATGTTTCTGGGGGACAACCCCTTGCTCACCTACTGGCACCCCATCCCACTTCACCCTCTCATCCTCTTTGACACCCCCAAAAGAATTTGAAAAAAATTCACATTTTTCTTATTGACTCATAACGCACAGGCGTACCAGATGGTTGCAAATTCGCTCCAAATACAACCAAATTTCAAAATTTTCCTGGGGGAGAACCCCCAGACCCCCCCTGAATGCTTGGTTTTTTATTCACTCAATTCTTATTCCCTTGGTGGTGGCGTACTACTTAGAAACTTACACTTTGAAAGTGCCCAGAAAGCACCAAATAGCATCTCAAAACTGTAAAATTTTCTAGGGGGAGTGGACCACTCCTCACACCCCCCACAAAACAATTGGAAGTTGCATGCATTTGTTAATTCCAAACCAATATAGGGAGTAACTGACCCCCCCCTCTGTCTTACGCGATTTGATTTACGCGGCAAAAAAATGACAATTTTATATTCTCTTTAGTAAGCTAAAAACCGCACCCCCCTTGGAGAAAAGTGTCTTACGGGCCTGATGGTATATAACCAAAATCTGTAAACTGTAATACCGTTTTACTCTCCCAATTCAATAGAAGAAATATCAAATAAATTCTAAAGAAATACCTGATTTAGAAGCTCTTTGATTTTAGTCTTGTTGAACCCAAACAGCATTTTGATATCCATTGTAAAATAATTGATATACTATGACATAAATATGAGTATGTTGTATCTTGTAATGTTCTATGAGTAGTTCTGGTAATGATGGGATTTTTTAGAATAGAGCTTACAATTAATTAGCTAATTACTAGTCAAACTGATAAGTTTTGGAAATGGTGTGTGCATTGTTTTGAAAACTTCACACAGAGATACAAAAAATGGGTCGCTCTTTCATTTTTATCATAATTAGCAAGATGATAAAAACTTTAAATATCAAAAATATGAATTTTAAGTGTATGCAGCTGATTAAATTTTATTTGCTTGAAAAATAGATGTTAAAAATATATAGACCATGAAGTGATTATTTGGCAATTAATTTATATTTTGATTATGATTTTATTAACAGCAATTAATACTATTTAGAGTTAATACTTTTTTAAATGGAGATATTTTGTGCATAATTCTTTGTTCCTTAAGTGGTTTAAGTATGTCCAAGCCATAAAATTTAATAAAAAATACATTTTAACATATTCTTCTATGTTTACAGTACTCTTTTGAGAAAATATCGGCAGCTGGTTGGAATTTAATTGTTTTAGCTTCGGGGCGGGGGAGGAAAACAATAAAAGTAAATGTCTTATCAGTTTAATAACTAGTTCAAAATGGCAATTTCCTCACTCGTTTATGCTCCCCTTAACAACTCTCTGCTTGTGTGGAACAATTTGAATGAGATGACATTGAAATTATTTCTCAAAATGTAAAAATAATGGTAGAATTACATGGACATGTATAAATATTTCCTATATATGGCATATAAAATATAACATGACAAGAGTCAAAGTAAACTATCTAATATCACCAAATAACTCTTATTAATAAAATTTACACGTTGAAGTAAGATTGCCATCATTCCGCCTGGGGAAAGAAACTTAAATGCATGTTTGAGAAATTGGTACAACACTCTGCTCATTGCACTGTTAATATTTGAAATGAAAAGAGAGCGAAGAGTCATATAATTAAACCAGCAGACCCTCCCAGACATTATCTGCCATTGTTCTTGACTAGGAAGTCGTTGATAGCTGCAAGTGTAAAAGCCATTAAGTTATCACCTCATACAACTTAAAATTCATCAACTTTATACTTCCTATTTTCATTTGTTGATTTTGATGAACCATTTGTTGTTTATAGGGCATTTGTATATGTTTTCATTTGTGCTTTTTGATTGCTTATGTTTTAAACTAACACAGGGTTGGGGATGAGAAGGGGTGAACTTTACAGGGGGCTGTTTTGTGATCAGGGACTTGATTGCATCCCCGGATTGCATCTAGACTTGTATTTCATAGACTTCAATATTTTGATATTTATGCCAGCTCTTCTGTTGTCTGAAGTTGCTTATTGTGTTTTTCAAATTTGAACAACTAGATGAACAGCTAGTCATTTGTTTATTCTTATTAGCTGACACCAAAATGATTAATTAAAGTATAGCATGGGGTTTAAATGCAATAATGCACATCTGAATATGACAGTATCATTTCAACAGTTATAGATATTGTTGAAAATTTCCCCTTTGTTTCCTATCTTACAAAAAACAGATTTCAGTAAAAAAGGTTGAAGGATAGATGTGTCAAAGACCATTAATCCAGTTTGCAAGCTTCATTAAATTTCACTCAAAGTGAAAAATAGGAATGCATTCGTTCCAGAATCTCACATCCACCCATCAGCTCACGTCAAAAACAATATAGAACTGTTCAAGAGTGATAACAATGACTTACCACAATTGGTCGATCAGAATTACTGTTGTGCATCTCCGTCTCCATGCTTCCTGGAAGCATATCTGTGCTGGTCATGTGACCTGGGAGCATATTTTCATCCTTACTCATCAATGGCGGCATTAGGGGCGGGGGCTTTGGCTTTGGCTTAAGTGGCGGCAACCCACTAGTATCTAAAATACAACAATGATTATAAGCCTTAATTATTATCTAATTTTGATCAATATTAAAATAATATACACCATCTTATGGTTATATCATTGATTGACTTTATTTCTTTGTCTGTATTATATTTTAATTTTTAAATATTTTCATATTAATTACAATGATTTATATCAATATATCAATGATTTCATAAATGAAGTGCATACATAAATACATATTTTAATCTTTGATTAAATACCTCATTAATATAAGCAGATAATGTTGTGGGCCATAATTAATTAGCATGGAAGTATTAGAAAGGATTTGTGAGTAATGTTCACATTTATCTTATCAAATAATGTGATATGTCTGGTGTTAAGTGTTCTGAAATAAATAAGTGTTTCTGTATATGTGACTGGTGTGTAATGGATGTTTAACAGATACAGAGTATGGTACTACTGTGTCTGTATACTGGTATATTAGTTATATACACTAAAATGCATATGTGGTATGGTATGCCCAACTGGAATGCTCTGGAATTTATCATAGTGTTTTATAATTTCATTCACTCAACAACTGATATTCATTTCAAAGTTTTCCTGGAATACAAGAATATGGCAACAAAGATAAAGAGTACTATGTTTTCAATGTGAATAAAAAATAACTTCTTACATCTATTTCTCGCAGTATCTTCATCTAAGCATATGTCTTGATGACCAACTCCCTTAAATCTTACATTTTTCTTAGTTTTTGATCCATCGCCATAGCAACTGTCTGAGTTACTATGGTCACTGCATCCTCCGTAATTGTCATTGTTGAGTTTCATATGGCAAGTTTTAATATCACTATGGTTATCTGTTTCATCATGTAAAGTATTGTTGCCAAGGTAATTATTATTGTTACTATGGCAATTATTGTTTCTATGGTAATTAGTTCCAATGTCAATTCCAGCATCTTCATCATTGACTCCATGAGAACCACTACCATCAGAACAATTATTATTACCATGGTAACTTATACTGTTACTATGGGAACTATTACTGCATGTACTATTCCTTTGAGAGTTACAAGTTTCCATATTTGGATTACGGTTTTCCATTGAGTCTGTGCTTGTGTCTGCTGCGGTGCTACATCCACTGTCCGAGGACTGCCCAAATGAACAAGGGGAACCACGTTCAGTGTCTGTTTTCATATATTTCCCATCAGAGTTCGACTCTATGATATCTCCATTAGTATCAATGCTAAGTTCATCTTGACTCACTTCATATTTGGCTTGGCGTATGCTGATATTATCAATTTTAGTTTTCCAATATTTATCTGGTAGTTTCCCTGCAATTGACTTCAGCGGTTTGCGCCACGTTTTGTTATTGCGACTGAATTTAAACTTCAGCATCGTGTCCTCCCTAAAATTCCAAATGAATCCTGAATCTCAAATTCTGTTATCTATTGATATTTCACATCCTCCTTGAGAGCATCTATTGGTTTAGCTCTGTCCAGTTTATGCCTTTTAATCCCTTTAACGGCTCATTCTGAAACATAACGTAAATAATTATGATTATTAAACAAATATGATTATTTCTATGACTTATAAATCCACACAAACAGTTTAAGAGTGTCAACTGAACGAGTAGAAATATTTGATTTCCAATAAAATTAGATACCTTTAATTCCGAAAATCAGAACCTCTTTCCTTCCTAATAAAAATCTAAATCCTGTTGCATTATCATTAAAGAACCTAAGGAAAAATGGCAACTTGGTTATGTCAAATCACTCTAATTCTCTCTTAAATTTGAATGAAGTTTCTTAATTTCTTGCATTTCTATACAATTTAGAGTGTGATCTTCATATCTATTTACCTTATTCAATGTTATTTCCCCTAGAATCCACTCTATTTTATAATTTAAAATAAGACTGGTGAGACTTTTTCGATGTGGCAAGGAAACCCCTCAAGTCCATGGTGAGATTTGAGACCTTTCTCACAAACTCAGACCCATAACCTACTGTTTATCCTATTATCTTAATTTAGCTGTAAGTATTCCAATGTCATATGAACCCAAATCTCTATTTGTACATCCTAAAAATGACTGGTTGTAGAAAATAACGTACTATTTATCAACTCTTAATGTAGCATCTTTAACTATCTATTCACACTGTGATCTGATTCTCCACATAATAATTGGGCACGCCTATATGGGCCCATCAGACGCTACTATTGTATCCACAAACGACAATGCATTTACTGATGCGCAAATGTATCTCTTTATATTTTTCAAAACTATAATCATTTGCTCCAAGTCCTCACATTGTTATCTATTGCTGCTCGCTCCCAGAATATTGAGGTGCAAGAAATGAGCTATATAATTTACTAAATAAGGTCATGCCAATCCCGCACTATTATACCACATGATTTATGACACCTTTTTAACAGAGCCTTTTATATCATATTTCATAATTTATCATCTCACTTAAAGTATAGAGTGACTTTATATCATATTTTTAAAGATAATCATGAGTGTAAACTTATTAAAAAAATTTTAATATCCAAAATGTGAATCAGTGTTTTTTCTCTTTCCGCATGACATTTATCTATTTGTAATCAGAGTCACCTTTGATTTTAATCAGAAAAGAAGTATTTGTTGTATACATTATTACATAAAGGTCATTGCCCAATGGGCTGATGCCACTCTGATTGTTGTCTTCTCTCATTTATGTTTTACTTTTGGAGAAAAATATTTACCTTTATAAAAGAACCCTCTGGATATGCATATTTTATTCCATTTTCATTGAAGTATATCACTATGGATACTTAGCAATATCTTCTCCCATTTGATTTGTTCATTTTCCTATTTATTTTATTTCCTATTTCTCATTCTGTTTGCAATTAAGTCTTGCTTCAAGACCCTGGACCTCCCCCACCTTATCTACTTCAACAACACTGTCACGATTGTGACATTGTTACCATTGTTACCATTGTAACATGAGTCAAAAACATTTCATTCAATGCCCTTAAGATTACTTAATATTAAGCGTCATTCTCTTAGTTACTTATAAACGCTTTGCTCCTAGAATTATGATGTGCGCAAGATGAGCTGTCTATTTTCTATTCTAATAATGTCACTCTGATCCCGTAGAGTCATTACTTATCATAAACCTCTTACCTTTAAGAATCTTTACTGTTCATTATAGTAAAACCTGTCTTTATGAACACCTCTCAAGTGAACACCTCTGCATTGTGAAAACTATTTCTGAATATACTCTATTTAACATAAATATCACTTGCTGTAGTGAACACCTACCTTAATTTGACTCTAATTATATTCAGTGCATACAGGTTTTACTGTTTTTCATCATCAATCAAATAATGCTAAAGTTCATCTCAGATTCCTATCAATTAAGCTATAATTTCAGATGATTTGTTCTTTTCATAAATGCATTTAGTATTTAACCTTATACATTAGAAAAAATCCCTTTTCATTTACTCTTCCTTGATGTAATGCCAGGATCAATAATTTGGTTCCATCAGCGTCAAACTATACTTCCCTGCAGGTAAAATTGTTATTTACTCAACCATTGCGATAAAACCTTGTGAAAATCATGCTTTTTCCTCATATTTTCTCAAAGTCTGATTTATTACCTTTTTTGCTTACTTTTTTCATGTATTTCACAGAGTCAACTTGTAATTTAATTCTTGCTTGTCAAGTTGTACCTTGCTGCATTTCTAATATTACCTTTCGTCACAGGTTCTGTAGCTCCTATAATTTAAGTTCCATCATCTTCTATGTTATCCTTCTCTATCTGTCTTATCTCACATATTATATTAATTAAAAAGGTTTTTATCTGTTCAGTGATTCTCAGAGCATGTACACCCTGAATGGTGTAACTCTAATGAGCTCTTATAAATATATGCCTGCTTTTTACTTCGGGTAAAATAAATGCACTTAGAGTTAATTTTCGGAAAGCCAGACAGTGCAATTATATTTTCCATATCCCTGTGTAATCACGCAGAAACAGTTGACTCATCTTGCCTAACGAGAGAAGATGTGTTTGTAATTGGTTGGATATATTAAGAGAGATTTCTTAGTGGACGTTACACCTGGTACTTCAGGTTGGGACTCCAAGCTAATTGGATATTGTCTCCATGGCAACACATGGCTAAAAATTTACAATTGTCGCATGTCAATAAACAAAAAAATAATTAAAAATAGGATTTCAAATATTGAAGGTAATTTCTTTTTAGCAATATTTTCTAATTCGATTGCTACACTCCAAAGATCTCCTAACTAATTTGTTAAAAAGATGTTCTTTAGCAAGATGAAATTATGATCAAGCAATTCCATAATATACTGCAATAATCAATTCAGATTTGTATTTATTGTTAATCTTGAAACCAAATCAATAAACGCCTGAAGAAATAGTTCAAACATCAATGATGTATTGTGACTTTTCTAAGTAGCCTCCTATTCATACATTGTCTAAGGTGTCCATATATAGACAGGCTTTATGTAAATTCAAAGAACTCCAAGAGGATTTCTGGATCATACATCATTCTTTGAAAAATATATTGAAGTAAATTGGACATTTCTTGTTGTATGCTGAAGATGTGTTGAATAATAATGAGAATTTAGCCACTGCAGTAAAATAACTGCCTTCAATCATAATGGCAATCAAATAAAATGCATCTGTACTTTAGATCTTTACCTACAGGCCCGTAGCCAGGGGCGGTTCGATGAGCGCCAAAAAATCTTTCAAAATCATGCAATTTTTCACCATTCTGAGCACTTTTTAAGTGATATTGGCCATTTTTGGGCCAAAATTGTCACAAGTGAACTCCCCCCGGGATTTTTCAAAAAGTGAACCCCCCCCTTGGCAAATCCTGGCTACGGGCCTGACCTACCTTAAATTGAGAATATTCAGTCTGTCATACACACTTTCCTTTCTATTTATGATCAAGACAGAAACTGATTTACAAATCATAATCCATATCTTAATAATTCTTAAGTTCACCCTCACCTGTCCATTTGGATTATCTCAGGTGTGATATCCTTAATTACAGGTGTGCTTAGCATTGATTACAGGTTATTTAACATTAGATAACATTAATAATTACCTTAGATAATAAAATCAAGAACTTATCATTGTGTGCAGGTATTCACTTTCCAGTGTGATTTCCAAAAAATATAAATTTCAAGATCCAATACAACAGAGGCTTATAGATGATTCTACCTGGTATATGTCTCTGAATACCATAATAAGAAAATGTGCACAACTTACTTTGCATATCCTGTGAATGAAGCTAATAAGACATATTTTGGAGTCTTTCAAAATGAGAAACCACAATTTCTCTAAATTCACATCCTCTCATCCCTGGTGACCAAATATGTACAAGTATGCATTTGAGATCAATAATCAAGTGATCATTGCACTTTTTGTTTGCTACAACTGTTGTAATCCCAACCTCCTTGGATCATCATATGCAGCTAAACATTTCTTGCTTACTGTGCAAAACTTTCCATTTACTGTTCATGACTTACTGAATTGCTTTAAATGTGTACTGTTCTACCTTAAGACCAATTTAAGGCAAAAACAATGAACACTTATGTGTCTAGAGATTAATATATGACTTAGGCAAGTGAGTATTTGAACAAAGTACTCATACAAATAAAGGGAAAGTATTCTGTTAAACATCATATGGATACACTGCATAGAAACTTGGTAAATAATGGTACGTGCAAGTTTGATGGCAATGTAATCCTCAACTCTTCTCTCTGTTCATGCCTTTTTGCTCTATTTCTCTCTAAAATTTGAATAAACTATCAGAGTTTAAAGCATTTCTATACCATTTGGAGTGTTTGTTATATGTCTGTATACTTTATTTCTTGTTTATTTCACTATTTTCCACTCTATTTTGCATTTCAAAACATGACTATTCTGATATTTCTACCACAGATCTCATTGGTTTTCTTTACTAATTACACTGTTGCACTATGATTAACCTCTGTTGATTTATGGATTGCAATTTAGATGCTAAGTCTGTTAAATCGGTAAAATGATCAAACACTCAAAATCAAAGGTGTTCTGTAATCAACACCTTTAGACTTTAGATTGATGGCAAAGAAACATTTGCTTTGCTGAGTTATATGTTTTCAACTTCTGGTAACATTTGGATATAATTGAAATTAAGATTACTGCTTAATCCTTAATTCAAAATTATTGGTTTCCATAATTTCCCCAAAAATTACAGAATAAAACTCTTGAATGAAAATGAATTCAATTAATGATTCTTGATGGAGTAAAAACACACTGAGACATTCTGAGTTCATGTAAAACAAATTCACTACATTAGAAAAAAAACATTTCTTAGCATGTAAATTCAAAAAGAATCTTGCGTCATGAAAATTATTACATTCGTGATTCCTCATAAACAAACATAGTTAATGAAAAATAATTCACATTACCTTCAAGCAAATATATCCATCCATATGCTTTTTGACTTGATAATTTATTCTTTTCCTAATACAAGACTTCTGTT